GCTTGGCGCCGATGAATACGACTTGGGGTCATTCTCACTGCCCCTATCCTCGAAACGTTGACTGTCGTAGAAGGGTCCATTGGAGATGGTCCCTTCAGCTGAAATTTATAACGGTTGTGGGAGTGACAAACTGGAGTTATCATTTAGTCTTTGGCCAGGGGAACGTTACTCACGTCTGTCGGACTCGTAACAGTTGTGCACATTTCCAGTGGATGCAATAGACGTGACGGAGGAGCGAGAAAAGAGGCGATCTGAATCGCGAAATTTGCGCACTCTCTTGTCTCCAGTACCATTAGCGCCAGCCGCAACGCTGAAAGCGCTGCCAGATGATGAGGTCAGCAAGTAACGATCCCAGCCCTTTATGATGTTTCCGTATGGTGCTGTATCATCCAGATAGCTACCCTCGAAAAGGTAAATCTGACGTTCCAAGTTTGTGAGGCTCTCCTACAAATGTTAGAGGCTCGAAAATAAACAAAAGCAAAACAAAATCTTCCTAGACCAAAAATAACCAAGAAGACTTCGTTGAAAAGAAAGTCAAACTACAAATCGAATTTATCGTGTTGTGCATGCCGACAACAACTAAAGCAAACTCACGATGAGATAGCGTTTCTGACGCATTAGATCGATGAGCTCCGATCGGGAATCCACTAAATGGGGGTTCTCAGGCATCCTAGCATATTATTCCCCACCACACATATAGCAAGAACCAGTTGGGAGGATACACAAGATAACCCACGGGTTATCACAGTTGGCAAATCGAAGCGAACAACCCAATAACGCTAAAGTCGGACCCTGCACCTCACCGAAGCCTATGTTGACTACCAGCCGCAGCACTTGTTAAAACAAACCGATCTCAGTTTAAATGACTTCTATGTAATTCTAAGTTTCTGTGTTTAACTACACTAATAGAATTTTTTATATACAAACAATAAATCAAAAATGAAACTAAATAGTTTGTGCAAAAAATGCTTGCTTATTTACTCTTGTGCCTTGTGTTGTAATGAGCCATAATTGCCCTATGCAGCAAGATAAATGGCTGTTTTTTGATATGGCAGCATCGATTTTTTGTTCTGATGTGTTTAATTATTGGCCACGGGCATGGCTGTATTATTGTTTGAACTTGTTTGTTTGTGCGATTTATTCGAATGTGGCTGGGGTCGGTTCGGTGTTGTTGCCTTCCTCTCTAGTACTGGTAGCAGTTAGTCATTTTTATACTTTGTTCTTTGTCCATTGATGCTTTGAGGATAGGCTTTTGACTGCTGATATACAAATTTACGAATTTTTGGCTTTTGTTTTCAAATTTTCTTCCCTTTAAATAATTTGCTTTTATGTGCCTCGATCTAGTCTTTGCTGGAAGAAATGGAAGAATCCGATGATATCGGTCCTCGCTATAGAATGTGCCTTTTTCTTTTTGGAAACGTTGATAAACGTGGTCAGTTAGAAGATGAATATGCTAATGATGAGGAGTTGTCCTCGATCAATCACATCGACGCGTGCCACGTCACTGAATTTGAGGCCAATATTAAGGCGATCGTGTCAGATGGCTCTGAATGTGATTCTTTTGTTTCGAATGATACCAGCAACAGTATTGCTAATATGCTACCCCCCATCGAACCTGAGGACTATTATAATGAGTCAGAATTGATTTGTCTTGACGCTGTGGAAAACTCTCTTCCCTGCGAAGTGGATGCTGATGTGGGTGTAATTTTTGATTTGTGTTTTATCTAACGCCTTGTTTAACAGGATGAATATGATGAAACGGTACCTTCGTCGGAATTTATAGTTTCTGCTAAAGAAGGAGAGTTGTTGGCTTCAAATAATTCCTCAACGGATGAAGCCCCTCTTGCAGGTTCTATGACATCCTCTTCAGATTCGAAGTCATCACATCCATCTCCCTTGCCTTCAATCGCGTCTTCATTGCTCAAATGTTGGCCAGAGCCCTTATCACCGACGTCAGATCAGTTACCCATCGGTTCCCCAAGACTAGATATTCCTTCTTCAACCAGGTATGAGGTTGGTGATAGGTCCACAATAATGCCACCCCCGCTACATCCTGCTCCCGTTGCCGCCACGCGTCAGCAGCATCGAGTAAGTATGAGTAGTTGGATATTTATCTAGAGTGCTTCTTCTGTGTTTATCATAGTTTATTTGAAGCAGGATGATGATCGAGCTTCTTACCATATAATCCGAAGGAATTGATTTGAAACTTGAATAAGCAATCATTCTATAGGCGATCTCGTCGTTCTGCAAATCGGGTCTGAACCATGATAATGATCCTCACCATTCATCTGACCAGCAGGCTTTCCCTCAACGGATTCTCAACACTCCTTTGGGTAACCTTTTGCCTCCAGAGTATGCAGATGTGGATATCACTGCATTGTTTCCCCACTATTCTCCCAATCTCATTCCAAGGTGGGGTCGCATAATTAGTCTTCCCTATCCTCCTCAGAAGTACGATCACCTCAAACATAATCCGATTGATTATTCAGAGGATGAAGGCCTTATTGGCTTGACAAACGGGGAAAGTGGGGATGTGTGTGAAGGGATTGGCAGGTGATTTTTTTGAAACTTTCACAGTAATGTATTTGTGTAAATGTGTCGTGCTGGCTGAAGATAGTGGTAATCTTGGATAAGTGTTAGACTCATCTTAGTGTTCACACAAGCCAATGGTCAAACTCGTCATGATGTCTCATTTATCAATCACAAGTTTGATTGCTCCCTTTTTTGTCAAGGTTGCATTTATTTTTCCGCAACTTTCTGGACCTTGGCGAAATTCCAACAAATGAGAAACAGTTCGAAGAAGCGACGAAATTAGACGAGATGCAAGAGTTGCAGACATTTCCGGATCCTAACTTGAATTGTTTTGCGGGTGCGGAACGCTCTTGGTGGCAGATCGCCTTTGCAGAGCGTCTGGCGCAGCTGGAAAACAGCTCCGCCGCGACCTCAGGTCAGACTGTCCCCAAAGAGGTGGATTCCAAGAAGGACAGAAAATCCAGGAAGAAATCCTTAGCAAACACTGTCAACGGCGACTCAGCCACCAGCAATTCAGTCTCTGCTACCACAGCTGATGTGAAGACAAAACCAGAAGAAGGCGAGTCATCAAGCAATGTACAATCGCGATACTGGTAATGTTTTTTCGGAATATTTCCTAAGGACATTCAAGTTAAGCCTATGTTTAAAGTTCACTGTATGGTATAAATTTAACTACGATGAATATATTGAACGCTGGTCAATTGGCGTGGTTAAGCCGTGGTACAAGGCATTGGTATTTCATACAAGAACAGAAACATAGTGCACACATTTCATTACACTAAGAGCATTTATTTCAGTTGTTTGTTGGAATGCATAAAAGGCATCCGTACCTATTCGCCTCCTCTGTTCTGACGCCAATATAGCCTTTTGTGCTGTAAGACCAGTTTCGCGTTTTTCGATGTTCATTTTAGGGGCTTTACCTGCCCAAATATGAATAAACTGTTTCTTTAAGCTAGAAAGCATTCCGTTTGGACAATTTGTGTGCGACAACAGAATTTTGATAATGAATGAATTGTTTATCTGATTTGGTGTTCTCAATCGGTAAAAACACAGCACGTGGCGATTTGGTCCTGCGAAGTATTGGTATGACCAGTTGGAGATACCGGAAACAGCAGACATTACAAAGTGGACCGAGTGGCGCAAAAATGCCACTCTTCCTGTTGCTGCGGCACCTTTGCAATCCACTGGTCTCAATGTAGCTCTCTGCGGTCACCCCACGTTGGCTGTTGAGTCGGGGACGAAAGGTTTGTCTTTATTTCTCACTTTATTTATCTCTATGGATGGATGTGTTGATAACGCTCTGGTCTAAGTTACGCTTCCCTTTAGGAATTTTTGCCATATTTCCGGCACCTCATTTTCCGCACCATGATGCTTTCTAGGTTTTTGACATGGGTTTGATTTAAACCAAAACCTTTTAACCTTATATGTTGACTTTCAATGAGCATTTTTTTGGACCAAAGTTTGAGAAATGTCTTTTTGCCATTTAAAGTTTCTACTTTCTCTACTAAAGTTTTTTCATAATTATTGGTTACTTCGTATATTGGCCTTAGCTATTGTTGCAGACTCGACGACGGGCGCCATAGCACAAAAAGGGTCTCGGTTATCCCATTCAATCGATGAGATTGACGAAGAAGATATGAGTAGTAGAACCGAAGAAGCGGAATTGGAGGCAGAGGATGAGGAGGAAATGTTTTTACCCTTCAAGCTTATACAGTGGGAAGAGGACATAATCTACGATCCTCAATTAAGTAACAACAAGGTAGCTACAAGTGCTAGACAAAACGCTGTCTACGCTGGTTGGATCCCTTCGCAAGTGTGTCGTACTATGGCTTCATTTCAGGTGCAGTCTTGATTGCTGGAATTGCTTTGCATAAATGTTATCTCTAATCTCACGTTTAATCAAAAGGGAGGTGTTCGGTTTCAATTGTAGCTCCCCTTCTGTTCTTTTGATAGGACAATTACCAGGGCAAATATCCAGGTATTCTGGGATACAAGGTCCTGACTGGTTCTGGACAGATCGGTCAGTCGGCGGCGGGCATGTCTGGAAACAGTACAAGTAGTACTATTGCATCTGCCTCCTCAACATCTACTGTCGATGCTCACAACCAGGCACCCACAGCTCTGCGCTCCTCTACCTGTTTCACCGGACCCTATTCCTTCTTTCCTATTGAAAATCCACAAATTATGGACGACAGCTGGCGTTTTGATATCATCTACGACCCGCAGTGCCACACACCGGCGGCTGATACGCCATTTCTGCTCACTCTCAACAAAAATGATGAGCAGAGCCTTCTCGACACTGTGGTCAACGACGACGAGCTTGTGGTGGTGAACGCCCCAAGTGCTCTCAAGAAGAAGCAGCCGGAACACATGCAAGATGGTCACATTAACCGAGCCAGCTTCCACGTCACTTTTGGCTTCGCTTCCACTCGTGGAACTCTGACCGGGGCTCTGGCAAAAGCGGAAAAGGGAGCCGAAAAAGTAAAGCGTATCCTCGGCAAAGTAAGCCCTTATTCGTCTTGAAATCCGCTTTTTTTTCAGATGCCACTTTCTTTTCGATTTGTCATGTACTTCACTCAAAATTATGCTACCTGACTCAGTCATCACGAATGTCTCAGTTTGTTAACCTTTTGTCGAATAGAAATGGAATTGCTCACTTATTAATGAATTTGAACCCTAGTTTTTTTCCCATAACGCTGATTCGCACATGTAATAGTGCTCTCTTAATGGAACGTTTTTTTCCGCTCCAGTTTGCGCTCTCAAATTCAACTTTCATCTTTTTCGCTAATGTAATGATGCCACG